CCCCCATCTCTCTCTCTCTCTCTCTCTCTCTCTCTCTCTCTGTTCCATAGTTTTCTGACGGGTGGGCACGTGATTTAGCAGTAAAAATTAGCGTAGGGATTGCTGATGCTGAACATTCTGTAAAACGGTAATTCACGGTTTTTATAACAAACTTAGTGAATTGATTTTTAAGGGAATTAAATATTTGTAGCATGTTAATGATATTCATCATGTAAGATGTTTAGTAACTTATGACAATTTTAAATAGTCAAGAAATAGTAAATTAGTGATACTTTTTCCTAAGCTGCATATTTTAATGGTATTATTTTTAAGATTTAATAATTCGTACAAATGATATGCATATATTTTCTTACATGTTTGCCACCTTGTTGTTATTTAAGTAGTTTCGAAAAGTTTTAGGTGCAACTAACCAGCACGGTTTATAATTTCTATTTGAAAATTTTCATTGTTGTTTCTACATTTTCACTATAAATTTTAGCAAATATAAGTACGCAAAAATATGAGGGTTCTGTGCACTGATTTTTCTGTAGAAAAATGTGACCATGAAAGCAGAAAATCAAACGTAATTTTATACATTTCGTGCATATGCAGTTCTTTTATGGTTCGAAAATTTGTGTTAGAGAGATGTCGTAAAAAGTAGACACTTCATTTTGTAACAATTGTGGAAGTTCTGGAATGAAAATACTGTTAAAAAGCTGAGAGTTAAATATGTATAGAAAATACAGTTTTTCTGTTGAAATGTACTTCTAGTAACTAGGATTATAATCCATGAGAACATTTCCTTTTTCTATATCTTTTATGATGGTGTTATGGTCTGTTTTTCTAAAGAAGAGCCCTGGGGGTAGGCCCGACTTCTCGCGGTGTTGCCGCGATCGCGAGATATCTACGGCACTTGTTTCTCTTTCACTCTTCGCGTCTTGGCCAATGACGTGCGACCGTCGAGGTGAGTCCTCGCCTACGGTCGTCTGTCTCTATCGCACGTATTATAAACCTCTCGAGAAGGACCTACCTACAATCTCAAGGAGTGGGGACTGCGTTCGGCACTCGCCCGTCAATCATCCAATGTCTGGAAATGGCGGAGAATGTTGACGAGACGCTGAACGTTTTCACACGTCAAGAGTTAAAATACATGAATAAAAAAAGGTTATTTCTTTTTGAAAGAATGTATTGTACCCAAATATTGAGCAACATATTAAAAGGGGATTAAATTAATACGTAGGTTATTAAACGCTACACGTGGAAACCGCAGGATAAAGGAGGAAGTTGGATTACCGAGCGTCTCAGCGAGAGGCTCTCGTGCCGAAGTGTCGGAGGATTGAAAGAGACACACAGTAGCATTGAGACCGTGACAACGTCGCACGAAATACGTTGCTCGCGTTGGATCCCCATCAGGCCACGCGCCGAGGCAGGACGACCCCCGAGGGCTCTTCTTTCGAAAAACAGACCATAGTATCATATATTCTATTTATAATGTTCCAAGAACTATATAAATTGTACTAATTTTTAATAACACTAAAAATGCAAAGAAAGAAGATTTCAAAAATTAGAAAGAGTAAAATTGAAAGTTTCTCTTCAATTTATACATTATCATATATGTATACATATACATATACAAATATATGAAGTTCATTTATTGAAGAATTTCAACTGCAACCTTCTACGCTTATGCTTTTTATATATTCGTTAGTTTATAATTCTATTTTCGAAGAACATAACATCGTATTGAGAAGAAAAATCCTATTAATTTACTAAAACTAAAAAATTAAAATGTTACGCTTAATTAGCCCGTTTGTTACAGTACCTACCTATTTTCCAGAAATTCTTTTAGTTCATAGGGAATAATGAATGTTTTCTTGTTCTGTTGTCACAGTTCGTTGCGCCGTTAAAAAAATACCAGAGTTAAAATAGGGTACACGGCTTACTCAGTTATTGCCATCCGCGTAACAATACAAAACTATGAAATATACAAGACATTATCGAAGCTGAGCGTAATCAATTCGCGGCTGTGTGTGTTGTTTTTGAATAATTAATCCCGATAGCATTTATACAAACCTCGTATTGACACGAATTATTTTATATTCGAACGAGCACCGATTCCGACTGTATTCGAATATTCCACGGCAACGCGATGAAATTTTCACAAAAAATAGAATTTTAATTCGCGGAGGTACTACTAGCCGACATAACATAAAAATGTGCCAGGAACAAAGGTTTCGGAACGTATATCCATAAAGTGTTTACCATCAATTTTGATTAAATATGCAGTGATTTGACGTGAAAAATCTATTGATCACAGAAAAAACCGTGTTAATTGTACGATATACACATCAGAAAAAAAGTTTATTGAGAATGATAAAATATAATTTTGAAATATTTTGATAATGTTTCTGAAATCTGACAACTACCATTATTTCTTTCGCATTTGTCTGATTAATTCTTCAATGATATTATTAAAAAACGTTAAGTAACAATGTCATAAGACCAACTATATTATTGTACTATATTATTTTTTTGTAAGTAATATGAACAAATGTGATAAGGAAAAGTTGCATTAAAAATTTTTAATTTGTCGTCAAGTAGTTTATATATTTTCATATTTTCTAGAAATTATTCCGTACGATCTAAATTAACGAACTACCAAAGATTGTCAAATTACTCGTTTATAAACTGAAAATATCAAGTGAAGGTTAAAATCTTAAAATGAGAAATGCTTTAATTCGAACGTAATCATTAGATAACATGGTCAAGGAATGAAATTAATTGATAAAGTGATAAGATGTATTTTCTTAAGTTTGTACTGAAAATAATTTACAATAATTTCGAAATATTTGTAGATAGAATGAAACAGTAAATGCACTACATAACTGCAAGCATTACTGATGTTTCAGCAGTCATGATCTGGCGATTTGTGGTCGTTTCTGTTCTCACGAGTTTTACGTTTAACTATTTAAAAAATTAAGAATAATGTTTAAAAAATAGGAAAAGTATTACAACTTATCTGTAAATACATTTCGAAGTTTATCGAGATTCCCCGATCAAAAATATCTTTTCTAAATTAAAATTATTTTTTTTGTAAAAACTACATACAAAACAATTCCCTACGAACCCCCTATTTTATGACTTTGACTGGTTTTAAAATAGTCACCAAGGGATGAAACTTCGAACGGTACTTTCATCCCTTAAACCTGAGTAATCGAAGCTAAAGTAATATGCGTCCATTACTTACCTGCTTTACAGACCTACAATTTCGTAAAAATCGATGTAGCTCACTTTGAGAATGCTTTTCGTGAATAATTCTATTTCGACTTACAATTAAAGAAAGTATCTATGTGTAACGTACTGCTAATTAAGTACCTATAGTTTTCATTTACAAAACTATAATCTGTGGGGGTTAACGAAACTGCTATTTAGTTGAATAATTTACATGTCCCAATTACTATCACATTAAGATTGTAGCGTAACTTCATTTAATCGCTTTACTTGTTGTTTAACCTAAATCTCTAACCTGATCTTTTGTACGCAAAAAGAAATAGTTTCGTACATTAACTAACAATTAATTAAAATCTGCGATCGATCCCAGTGTCCCTATAACTGTCACCTCAAATATTAAAGTAATTCTTATACATATACTTTAACAAGTCATTTTGTACGCACAATAAATATAGGTTCCACAGTAAAATTGCTCTTTCTTTGGCATGTTTTAGCCACAATTTCCTACCTACGTGGTTGCGTTTTAGACACTCAAATTGCACTTTCATTTATCAACATTAATTGTCAAACACTAGAAACCCACAAATACATGTGTTCCTTTGTTTTTATGCAAATCAGAGTCCCGATTTAATAATAAATTTTGTTGTACGTAAAGTTTTTATCAAGTAAAACAAATAAAGTGGCAGTATGAGGGACACTGGCGGTAACTGGGACATTTACTCTAGCGCAGTACAGATGGCAACAGAGTAACTTTCTAACCGCTGTACGAGAGTTAAGTGGATCATTCTATCCCGACTCACCCTTACTGTAATACCGAAAAAGATTAAGCGAAGCTTCAACCATTCCAAAGATTTTCAATCACAGACTACAAGAGCGGAAAATTAATTCCCGTAAACAGTCTTTTATCTTCCCGCGCAATATTGCCTTTTATACTCATTTTTATCAACCACCAACGGTTTTATCCTCATTTCATTCCAAGCCTGTCAAAAGAACTGCAAACACATCGGTATTGGAATTAGAAGAAAAAAAAAGAAAAATACGTTTCGTACACATTATTAAAACCTGGTATCTCGACAGAAGAGGCTCCGACCGTAGAGATATAAACAATCGCGGAAACGTAATTTTTACCGGTACGTATCCCTCCTCACTCCTCCCTGCCCAATTATCTCCGGCTGGCATTATTAAAATTCATAGCGAGAGCTCGGATCCGCGGTTTCATTGTTTACAGAGGAACAAAAGCGTTCTCTACCCGGGGATATAAACATTATTGCGTCGCGCAATAAATCCGCGAACAGCCACCGGCGGCGTTTTCTCTACGCGCCTGCTTTAGTTCGCTCTGGTTACAGCCGATAAGCAATCTGAAATCCCTTTTTCGCCCGATGGTAAAATCGAGACGTCGCGCGCGCACCGCTGCTGCTGCCACGGATGAAATCGCGGGGGCCTGTTGTCACGGATGAAATCACGGGATCCGATAACAACGTGACCCCCTCGTTATCAATGCTTACAACCTGGGTTACAGACCGCGGCAAAACGGCAGGCGGCCACTTTTCCCCACCGCCTGTTCCACTTTGCATGGGTCTACTTTAAGGGGTTAGATACCTTTGACAGATGAAAAAATAGGGATACTTTTGTGACTTGTTTTCATATAAAGGAATATTTTATTTACAAATTAAGATATACATCTTTTTGTGTATAAGTTAAGCTGTATACTGTTATTAAAAGAAGTTAATCTCTTGAGAAATAACACCGTAGCAGCCCCGTCCTCCAAGACCTCTTCGTAGCTACAACATGCGCGGTAAGACAAATATCTCAGGGACTACTGGACCGATTTGGAGAGAATTTGGCATGAATATTCTTAAGACTATAATTTAGTACTTGTCGAATCGGTTTTTTTATTCATGTTTTATTTTTTATTTTACTGACAAAAGGAAATGAAAGTTTAGGTCGAAAATCGCATGCTTGACTTTAAGTAGCTGCCCTCTAAAAAAAAAATTTTTTTTTCAAAATCGGCTTCGACAAGTACTAGTTTTTTGGTCTAATTTCGTGTAAAAGAAAAAGAAATTATGTTTCTAATTAAACCCCACGGAGATATCTATGTTATTGCAAATGCTGTAACTATGAAGAGACCTGGGAGGAGCTGTTACGGTATCATTTCTGAAGATATCAAATTTCTTCTACTAAACCAATACAGCTTAATTTATACACAGAAATACATGTATCTTGCCTTTTAAATGAAACGTTTTTTTATATGAAAAAATTCATAAATGAAACCCTAATTTCCGACCTGTCAAGGGTATGTAACCCCTTAACGGTACATTCTCATGTAGACGCTGCAAAAAAACGTTTCCTTTAGGATTTTTGTCAACTAAAACTGTGACACATAGAGTGAACAATACGTCCGGGGTTTATTAATATACCTACATTTGACAATATGAAAACAAATTTTTTGTGTTATTTTGTTTAACCCTCCGAATATAGGACTCGCGGGGCATCCGAGGCCGGATCATTTCTGACTCACATCGATAGGTTACTAACACAAACTCACGGTGGCTCGAGCTCGAGGCCCATACCGTCACTGTAGAAATTTTGTCGACTAGAAGGAAGGACAGCGAGTAAAAAAGGAAATAGATTGAGCCGAAGACGTAAGTCAATACTTCTGCGGCGTCTTAGCCCGGCTGTTTTCATACAATGTCACACGTCGTCAGTTCCCGCATTACAGGGACAACTCCATCACTGTATGCGTATCGCTCTCGCTCTCGCGTGACTCCGGCCCAGTCCACAGCGGGTTAATTTATACTACAAATACTAGCAATGACTCTGACGTTAACAAAAACGGTGCACATAATTTAAAATCTCCAGATCCACTCATCTGAAATAAAAAAACCAAAGCTTCTCTTAAAACTTATAAGGGATGATTATCGTGTCGAGCACCTTTATTGAAAAATAATGAAAATCTCCTGAATAGGTAATAGGTAATCTGTTCACTAAAAAATGTATTGCTCAACCAAAACTTTTGAATCTGCTTGATACGATAACCATCCGTATAAATAGACAGCGGATTGCATACACCTAGAGTCTATAGAGCTTTGTGAAATGCAATGAACAACAAAAATTTCATGAGACGCAACCAGTATTCTATTTTCTTTCTAACCCAACGAGATAATTAAGTGAACAAAGAAAATCTACCTTTGTGCCTCTCTTGATGATTTACTTTATAAAATGTCATTTTGCATAAAAATTCGCAGTCTCAAGTTCAATTTTCAAGAAAAACTATTTGATTTTAGAAGAGTGGATCTTGAGATTTTATGTATACCGATTAGACATCCGTTATTGCTGATGTCTGCGGTATATATTAGACATAACAACATAAAAAGAATCTGTTACATATCTTGAAATGTATATTAATAAATCACAATCGGATTGTTCATTCCGTGTGTTATGGTTTTATCCTTTCCTTAATTCACCGTAATAGACGAATTTAGCGGTTTACCCGGGAACAACGCCGGGGGACCGTAGTAAAGCCCACAGCGGAGCCGAGATGCCGTGGTCGCAGTCGCGGTCGCGGTAGCGCAAATGGCCGGAGTGATACGTCACCGGCGTGGAGCGTGTTGTTACGTCACTGTTGGGCGGCGGGGTAGCAGCACATTTTGTCGTTGCCGGAGCCTTTTTGACGGATACAATCAGGGATTAGGAGGGAAACGAGCTTACAATTCACGGCGAGTGTCACTCGCTTGCTAACGGCGGGCGGCACGTCGTTGCTGGCGATGCAGAGATACGCCCCCAGTTGTCGCCTCTCGACACGATGGAATTGCAGCAGGGAGCCGTTGTAGGTCTCGTGACTCTCGAAAGTGTTAATACCTGTAGACCGGGAAAACATTTTCTGTCTGCACATTTTCTTGAAAATTTACCCCCTCCCCCCACCCCCCTTCCCTTCTTTCTTTTTTTTTGGTCGCCGACAGCGTATCTTGTTTGAACCCGCGCAAACGACAGGATCGTTTTTCGCTCCGTAATCACAGTCGTCGACGCTTTATCGCGTCTTATATCCTGAATTTTTGTGGGAGGCTGAGAGACGACGGGTTAACACCGAATTGCCAGTGAGTACTCGATTGTAGGTTTTTTCACGTGACAGCCAGTTCAGACGATACGGTTTTTTGACCGATTCGGTAATTTGACGAATCGATAATAAAGCAGCATTCATACGCTTCCGTATCATCACCGAAAATCCAACTGTCACACGTATGCTTACTTCTTCGATTTGTTTGTGTGAATACTGCTTTCGGCTATTACCGGCAAACTTACCAAATTGGTCGAAAAACTGTATCGCCTGAATTGGCTGTGAAAGTATGTACACTGACGTGCAAACTCGACTTCCGCTCAATAAACTTCCGGGAAATAGTGACATTGGAGAAGAACTTCCTCTCAAGTACTGAAATAAAGGTTAAAGCAAATGTTAATTTCGCATAAATTTTAATAATTCCCGATACCAAGCTGTAGGAAGCCCTTCCCCTACGCCACTTTTTCCCCTAGCGGAAACAGAGTTTGCACGTCAGTGTATACTATTCGGATACTTGTCGAGTATGAGATGAGTGCAATTTAGAAATTATGAAATTGTTGAATGTCTGAAATGAATATCAGTTAGAGGATGTTGAATCTCGATGGACAACACTTACGCTAATTTAAAGTAGGGGAGACCAGAGACAAACGCACTTAATTTGACTTTTTGAGTCTGTAACTTTTGAATGCAGTAGAATTTTTGAAAAATTCTTGGACGACGAAAAACCTTGATTATTGGACAGCATAATCGAACTTTAAAACCTAGAATATATTATACCGTTTTTTAATAAGACTTTCTTTAAAATCACTCATTTGTTACTTCTGCCCCTATCTCTAGGGATGATTGTAACACCGTATTTGAATTGAAAAAAAAAACCATAGATGATAGACATAAACATAAATATAAAGATGAATATAAACATTAAAGTAACATAAACATTTAAAATTTTTTAAAATGCAAACCTGTATGTAGTATTAATATTCATTTTTTTCCAGGAGTCAGGAATAGATTTTTCATACTTTATTGCCAACTCGTAAGCCAATTTATTTATTTTTTTTGTTGTCATGCCGTAATTGATAACAGATAAGTACAACAAATAATGTTGCAAAACTATTTTCTCTTTGTTTGAAAACACCCTTTTTGTCGATGTATAAGAAACAGAAGGTAGGCTAGCTTTTAATATGTTGAAACAATGTTACCTAGCATAGTTTAACAGATTTTGAGGCGTGTCTGAGAGACACCTTTTTGTGTGTAACTTCCTCTGCAGCTAATTTATATAATTCTGCCGAAGCCAGCCCATGATTTATTTTCTTTTTGCGAATAGTTCTGGCATTCTAGAAGGAATCGTAATCCCTTAATTATTAAAATAGCGTACCCGAAGAACCAAGAGGCATAAAAGAAAGTCGACAGCTTAAATCGGGACAAATATAACAAGCTGTTTCTTTTGTTGTTCCCTACTTGCGCTATCTCTTATAAACACGTTATTATATGGAAACCTAATTTGTTATCATGAACAATGTTATATCTACCTGAAAATATAATATTTACTTAATATAACACAAAGACTTTCAGAGGATTTTACGAAACTGAAAGAAAAAGATACAGAATTGAGAGAGGTAATGTAACCTTATTTTTGGTATATTATTTCAATAAGGTAGTCGTATCAGGAAAACCGCTTACTGCAGCGTATTTGCGACAATAATTGAGGTAGAGGACAGATGGAATTTCAGTATAAAAATGGAAGGAGAGGAATGTTGGTCGATTGGATTGGTGTTTGTTTTATAATAGTTGTTACATTCCTCCCGTGTTACGTTTGTCCCTTGTCTCCTTGAGGGTTTTCTACTGGAATAGATGAAGGATTTTGGAGGTCGAGTTATCAATGCCCAGATTTGTTTGACGTTATCGATACGCTTATTGTTTCGAAATCGTACTCTTGTACTTATCTGTTTTAATCCTTCACTGTATAGTGTAATTCGTCGTTTAAAGTTAATATTCGAAGCACAGCAATATGTTATTGGTTTATTTGCTTAACATATTACTAGAGTCTGAGTAGAATAAAACTGAACAATATGTAAAATATTGAATAATCTTCTCCGATTATATTGTTAAACACTCAATCACGTTCTTTTAGAAAAGTAAACACTATATTCTGAAATATTTGGTGTTATAAGTAAATACAAGGTACGACAATAAAGTTTTCAGAATAATTTTTTTTCCTTCGAAGTGAACGTAATTGTTTACAGTGTTCTTACTTCGATGGAAACAAAATTATTCGTGGGTATTAAAACAGATACCAGAAAGCGAGTATAATAAACTCGCGATAATTAGTCGCATTTGGGGCTGTTGGAAATAATTCCCGTTTGGACGATCCGTGTTCGATCGGTGGCGACATCTGCGTCCCTAGCCGATAGTCGCGGACAAACAGCGACCAACAGCCTCTACTAAGAAAACGTATACATCATAAACGATTTATGACTTTAGAAACAAAATAAAGTGTCTGGCTACGTACAGCTTTTTTCATTGTGGCAGTCGATGTATTAATATTTTTGCCCCGCCCCCCTGACTGATAACCTGTCTACGCGCATGGTAACGCAGTTGTTCCGCGCGTGGCCGCGTCGTCTTTATCGTAACCTTTTTGCTATTGTAACTGTATCATGTCTACATAGTTCAACCTCCACAGCACTCCTGTTCACAGGGGCTCTACAGACGGGCAGTTATAGGAACGGGTAATTGTCGAGATTCAATAGCATATAGTATTTCATTCACAGCTCGATCGACGGATGCCATGCGACAAATTATTGGTTATAGAAGACGACAGAGAGTGGGGTGTCCGCGTGTGTAAATAATGCGTGTGAGCAGAGGGCATTCCTAACGCATATTTATCCAGCAGGCAGTTATTGCGAGTTTACTGTACCAGAAATGTTAAGATCGATGGATCTGACGCTGGAATGCGTGTAGAGTCTCAGGATAACTACTTTGAAGATCATGGCCTCACATCTGATTAATTTTCAAAAGAAAACTTTTAAGTGAATTATTCTCGAAACTTTATTGTCACGTCCGTTTGACTTCAATATTAGTATAGAATTACATCCAAATTATTTTGAAGTGTACACACTAAAAAAAAAAACAAATAAAGCAATTAACCAGGTACACTATATTTTCTTTTATGATTTTTGCATGAACTGTTTGCACATTGGATATACCTCTTATGTTTTACTTTGCAAAGGTTTATGTGAAATCAATATTGTGATGCAGTTGGGGCATTAAATAATTTCTTGAGTTTGTACACCCACGAGCAAACTCGGCTTTCACTAGGGGACAAAAGCGGCGTAGAAGAGCAGTCTTCTACCATTTGGCAAATTTATTCCAGGTGGTGAAATAAATGTTAAATCGAATGTTAATTTGGCATACATTTCAATAATTCCAAATACCAAATGGTAGGAGGCCCTTTCTCTACGTTACTTTTTCCCTTAGAGAAAGCCTAGTTTGCTCGTCGGTGTACGCTACATCCAAGTATGCTAAATCTGGAATTTCATGAGATATTTGTTAAATGGTAGGTCGTTGTCAAATCGTCGTCGAAATATTCTTCAATAGGTATTGTTGTTGAAGAATGTTTCGATGGAGGCCAGTTACTCGTTTACGTTGACTGCGTAAATCGATAATGAGAATCCAGTTTAATGTTTTCGCTATCCTTTCTTTTTGAAAATGTTTAACAAACAAATTTGTTAATCATTTTGTGTCTCCTTTAAACAGGACACATGGTTGGTCATTGAGAGCAAGACAATTATGATTGCTCATTACTAATGACTCATTAGGATTGGTGTGATTACAGTTTTACGTTCAGCCTGGATATCCTAAATTTTGAAAATTAGTCTTCGTTATTATTATTTTACATAAAATGAATAAAGCAAGACAACATGCAGCTGAATGGGTAAATACAAATATTCACTTTTAAGGAGAAATTTCATATTAGAGTCAAGTACGTATGTATGTTTGCAACTGGACGAAATGCAACCGGATTATGTCTTATCCTGAACAGACTTATACGAACAGTAAGTCAATATTTACTTCGATTCTGTTTGATATCAGAGCACCATGACTGGGAATTGATACGTATCAGTATTAATAGATACAAGATCTAAGGTACTTTTGAGCTAACGCTATTTGAAGTAGCGCCAACGTTATTTCATATTGGAAATGAAAGTGTTCTTTGAAACGGTTTCGAATGATGATGTGTATCTGATTAGCATTTTAGCAACATGAAATGATGTAATAGAAACTAGAAGCGGATAGAAAATTTAATTCGAGTATTGCAGTTCAAGTTGCAATAAATTACTTATTACTCCCTTTTTAGGTATCATATATAAATTAATCAACAATTTTTTGTTCCTCATTTTCTACGTAACGTTTTTTTCACAGATAAAGTACTAGAATTTACATTCTCGATCGACCGAACATTGGAATACATTCACAATTCATGCATAAATTTAGTGAGTACAGTAGAATCTCGATTATCGGAACACCGTTTATACAAACGTCACTTTATTCAGCGTTCCACTATTCAAACTTCTCCGCACGGCAGGAACATACTTAGAATGCATTTTTATCAATACTTTTTTGTTTTTACCAGTTGGTATAATCAAGGTTCTACTGTACATCAACTGAACAAGGTGAACTGCGAACTCCGCGTAGGAGTACTAGTGAATCATATTAACCCTGGAACTACCAAACCCAACAAATGGAGAATTTAAGATTTGTTACTTTACAGTTACTGAAATGGTGAAGATGCTTTTATTGCCTGTAA